AACATGACCTGAGCCAAAGGCAGACGCTTAATGGCTGAGCCACCCAGGCACCCGGAAAAAAATTTTTAATTAAGTAAACTGTACCCCCAACGTGGGGCTCAAAACTCACGATCCTGAGACCAAGAGTCACATCTTCTATTGACAAAGCCAGGCAGGAAACTACCCCCCCCCCGAAAAAAATAACCAAAGTTCTTAAGGAAGCATCCAGTCATTCACGCAACAAGTCTTTATTGAGCATCTTGTTGGGTCTAGCCACTGCTCTAGGCACTGGGGATATAACAGTGAGAAAGAACAAAGGCAACACCCTTGTCCCCAGCGAGCTCACATGCATGTGAGTGTGTCACGTAGTAACCACCAAGTGAATACATAGACTGTCTGATAATAAGAGTGCTACACGAAGTATATGACTGTGTATTGGGGAAGGGGATGCTCGACTTGCAAGAAGATGGTTTACATAGGGCAGTCAGAGTCTTTTTTTTATTTTTAAATTATTATTATTTTTAAGACTTTATTTTTAAGTAATCTCTACACCCAACATGGGGCTCGAACTCACAACCCCGAGATCAAGGGTTGCATGCTCCAACTGAGCCAGCCAGGTGTGCCTAGGACAGTCATAATCTTTTAAAAATAACATGATGTTGGGGAGATATTTGAAAGAAGTGAAGGAGTGGTTATGAAGCTACCTGGAGAAGAGTGTTCCATGAAGAGAGGAGAGCAAAGGCAGAGTTCCTGAGGGGAACTGTGAAGGTCAAGGGTCCACAGTGGCGACAGCCTAGTGTGTAAGTGGGAACATGACCGGAGATGGGGGCAGGCAGCTCGGACAGGGGCTGGTAGGGCATCATGGACTCCCCTTGGCTTTCCTTGAGATCGGCAGGCACTAACGGGTTTGAAGAGTAATGGGATCCCTCGCTGCTCTGAGGGGAAGAGGCTGAGGTGTGCACGGGAGGGAGCAGGGAGACCAGAGTTAGGAGACTATAGCAATAATCCAGGTGAGTAGACACTGACATGGACCAAGGTGGTACCTTGGAGGTGGTGGGGAGTGACTGGATTCCGGGTCTGTTGTGAACATAGAGATAAGACGTGGAGTGTGACTGGGACATGAGGTATGAGGGAAAAGAAGATCAAGAATCATTCCAAGAATTTTAACGTATGTGGTGGACAATTTCTAAAATGGCTCCCGGGGCGCCTGGGTGGCTCAGTCATTAAGCGTCTGCCTTTGGCTCAGGTCATGATCCCAGGGTCCCGGGATCGAGCCCCGCATCGGGCTCCCAGCTTCTCCCTCTCCCTCTGCCCTTGTTTGTGTTCCCTTTCTCGCTGTGTCTCTCTGTCAAATAAATAAACAAAATCTTTAAAAATCAAAAAAATTTTTTCAAAGAACTTTGGTTACTTTTTTCAATGTAAAATGGGTGGAAATCAAAAACTGTTCTCCACAAGTCACTTGTTTATCACATTCAAAAGCCTTATCTCTACATTCTACTGCCTTGGCTTTGAGCTTAAAAAACCCACCCAGGAACTCAGCCACCACTTTGTTCTCACCTGTGCCACCTTCGCCCTTACTAATGGTGCCTGAGTCTCACAGGCTAATCCTCAGGGAGGCTTGGGGGAATGGTCTGTATATATGTTGCGTGGAAATTTTTGGTGGGGTCTTCTGTGTTAATACCCCAAGATTTATCCCACCACACAGACACAAGGCTTACCCCCTTTCCTTTCTGTGATACCTACCAGGAGAACTAGGCACCAAAATAGAGACCTAAGAAGTCTGTCTTTTTGTTCCCTGATAACATCCACGCAGGGGAGCTTCCAGCACTAAGAGGAGAGCCCAGCCCTGACCACGGGGGGTCAAGAATGAAGTAGCTGTGAAGCCATCACTGACAGTGAGTGTCAGGCTCCAAGGGTTTCCAGGGATGGAGGAGCCCAAGAAGGAACAAAGGGAGGAGAAAGCAGCTCTAAGATACCAGAGAAGGTCGGGATCCTGTGGCTCTAGTGCTTCTGGGAAGAACCAGACCAGAAGCCAACACCTGGGGTCACAGCACACATACTTGCCATGAATCCACCATTCCCTCCTGAGTTTAACAACACCTGTTGGGTATTCTCAACAGGAGACAGAGCAGACCCAACCCCCACTCTCTCTGAGGCATATGCTCTAGTGGGCAAGACAAACAGTGAAAATAAATACATGATTACAAATTCTGACAGGTAATTAAGGATGCCCTGGGTTTATCTATAATGAAGAGGAGAAGTGGGTGGACATCCCCAGTACACAGAGCAGAGGGAGGAGTATGGGGCCTGAGTCACTGTGAAAAGCCAGTGCAGCTGAGCCCAAACATGAGGGAAGAGCTAGGAGGTGAGTCTGACAGAGCAGTTAGATCAGTCAGGCACATGAGGAAAATCCCATGTGACCATGAGAGCCCTAAGAAGCCATTTAAAGAGAATGACAAGATCAGAAGTGTCTTTTAAAAATCGCACTCTGGCCCCAGTATGATGAGAAGACCACATGCAACAGGGGAACAGAGGGGGAGGTGAACTGACAGGCTAGCCAAGCAGATGTGACAGTGGAGAGACAGACACAGGCGGATTTAAGATGTGTTTAGATGAGGGGCGCCTGGGTGGCTCAGTCGTTAAGCGTCCGCCTTCGGCTCAGGTCATGATCCCAGGGTCCTGGGATCGAGCCCCGCATCAGGCTCCCTGCTCCATGGGAAGCCTGCTTCTCCCTCTCCCACTCCCCCTGCTGTGTTCTCTCTCTTGCTGTGTCTCTCTCTGTCGAATAAATAAATAAAATCTTAAAAAAAAAAAAAAGATGTGTTTAGATGAAAGGATGTCAGGGGGGGAAGGGGGGTCATCAAAAATGACACCAATGTCTCCGGCTGGACTAAGTGGCTCACTGGGGGTGTCAGACGCTGAAATGGGGACACAGACGGAGAGCCTGATGGGGAGGTGAGTGATGAGAACAGTTTGCAGATGCTAAGCAGACAGTACAATACGGGCACATAGATGACTTGGCCATGAACATGCAGGGACCAGGTGGGTCCAGTAATTCCAACCAAGGTCCTTTGGGCCCCTAAGCCTGTCTCCTAAGGCGAGGTTCAATGGTCCTTGCCAGCAAGGACCAAGGCCAGTAAAAGAGGTAGACACTAATGAGTGGGGAGGGGGACAAGGTTGCCAAGGGCAGTGTTGGAGTCACTCTTGCTGTGTAACAAAACACCCCAAAACTTAGGGGTAGTAAACAACCATTTCATTATTTATTTATTTGAGAGAGAGCACGAGCAGGGGGAGAGACAGAGGGAGAGAGAAAGGGAGAAGCAGGCTCTCTGCTGAGCAGGGAGCCCAACGTGGGGCTCGTTCCCAGGACCCTGAGATCACAACTGGAGCCAAAGGCACACGCTTAACCGACTGAGCCATCTAGGCACCCCAACAACCATTTCATTATGATCAGTGATACTGCGATCAGAAATTGAGACAGGGCACAAGAATGGCTTGTCTCCTCTGTATGATGTCTGGGGCCTCAGCTAGGGGTGACAACTTCTAGAGTCTGGAACCATCCAGATGCTTCTTCATTTTACATGTCTAATGATTGATGCTGGCTACTGGCTGGACCCTTCACTGGGCTTTCAGCTAGAACTCCTCCGTGCATTTCTACGGTGTGGTCTCTGTGTGTATGCTAGTTTGGGCTTCCTCCTAGCCTGGTGGCAAGATTCCAAAAAGGAGCATCCCAAGAGAGCAGGGTAGAAGTACACGGAAGTTTTATGGTCTAGCCTTGGAAGTGAGGTCACATCATGTGTTATCACAAGCCTGCCCACGGGGAAGGACTATTTACCCACTTCTCAATTGGAGGCGTGTTAAAGAGCATGAGGAAGAATATTGTTGCAGTCAGCTCTGGAAAAGACAATCTGTCACCACTGAAAAGAGAAAGTGGGTTGGAATAACGGAACCACAGGGAACGCTCTGCCTTGTGAAGCGTCCCAGAGTCAAGCTCTCTCAGGGAGGAAAAAATAAAAAGCTAGAATAATAACTGCATCTCAAGGGAAGAGGAAACATGTTCTACGACGGGACAAGCTAAACCCATCTCTGACTCCCTCTTCGGTTCGGCTTCTTCGCATCGCCAACATACAGTCAGGTGCTGGGATGGAGGCAAGGGTCGGGAACAGTGGGGAAACTAAGTCACAGAAGGCAGGGTCCCACAGAAGCGAAGAGCTCACAGCTTCTCAGGCTCTGGATGCCATCTTGTGTGCTGGCTCTTGCTGTTCAGGTGAAGAGGGGGTGCATTTTTGATGTGGTGGTTTCTCCTCCGCAAGCACTCCCTCTGCCCAGAGCTGGCCCCAGAGCCGGAGAAACAGAAGAGGCATCCGTCTTCCTCCTCCTGGGTGTGGGGTGTGTTGTTGTCCCTGCAGGATGAACATGCTAACGTCCCTTCTCCACACAGGCCTCCTCCCCCCCAAAACAGGAGTCATCCTCCTCCTCCAAAGTTCTTGGCTCACTGGAAGCCCCTTCCCCCTGGAAGTGCACCCTCAAAGCCAGGGGCGCCCGTCAGACATGGCTCATTTTTACCACTGACCCCTCTGGAGTGGGGAAAACAGCCCCCCGCCCCTTCCTCCCGGACAGCTGGGCAGTTGCCTGAGCCCAGCGTGTTGCACTGTTCCCAAACACGGAACACACCCTCCACTCTGTCGGACCGTGTACCTTTGCGCGCCGGGATGAGCAAGGGCCAGCGGGGCCTCTGACCTGGAGCCAGGGGGCCCAGGGACACAGCCCCGGCCTTAAGGGGGCCTCCCGCAACCTTCCAGGCAACTTGGGAGCCTTCTCTCGGTCATTTCGTAGCTGGGTCTGAGTCCTATTTCACAAGCCAGAAGCAGAAACTGTGAAAACCCCACAGCTCGTTCCACCCGTTCCACAGTCACTTCCTCTTCCGTGAGGGACACCAGGCTTCCCCTCGCATTGCAGAGTGGAGTCCCCGAGACCTCTCCGGGGCAACATTCAGACAGAGCAGGCTCCAGGCCACCACGATGCCCGCACCTGCCTCCCCACCCCGCCTGCCTCGGCCATCCCTGCTGCTGCCTCTGCTGCTGGGCCTCACAGGTGAGTGCCGCCCTCGGCGAGCATGGTGCAAGAATGCTCACCTGAGTGTGGTGGCCGAGGTACGGCTTCCCCATTGGCAGTGGGGCGGATGGATCTCGGTTCCAGGCCCTCTTTCTTCACCATGGCTTCCTCTTGAAGACATTTCTCTAAATGTTTTCTTTTACAAGGCCCTCCCAAACAAATGCCCCCAGAAGGCTTATTAGTCGGAGGGCTCCTTTCCTCTCCCACTCAGGTCCAGACAGGATTAAACCCACCAGGCATTTCTCAGTGACAGGGTGTTCCCAGCCCCGCCTCACTTCCCACACCCCTGTCACCCTGTGAAGCCTCCATGACCCCCTGTGGCTTGACCTGCAGGACCTGGGGCCACCCTGAGGGAGGAGGTGGGGGTGCAGCGTCTGACTCCTGCTGTAAACCCTAGAACCTGGGAGTCAGAGCCGCCCTAATTAAGATGGAGATGATGATAGGTAGGTAGATAGGTAGATCACAAATACTCCACATGCCATGCAGAGCGATTAGAAAACTGGTAAGTGGTACTTTGTAGACTATTAAGTCTCCCAAAATCTCAGCATTCTAAAATCATAGTCTTTTTATTATTATTATTATTATTATTATTATTATTATTATTATTATTTATTATTTATTATTGATTGGGAATTAGTCCTGCCTGTCTGTTCTCTTTTCCCCAGAGCTGACCCCAAACCCTGCAGACAGGTGAAGTGCCCCTTCTTCTCCCCAGCGGGTTGACATCGCAGTTGAGACTCTGTCCAGGAAAGCGGTTAAAAGCACAGTTATTTTTTGAAACAGATCTGCCAGAGTTCAAATCCAAGTTCATCATTTATACCCTATTTGGCTTAGAACAAGTTATGAATTTCTCTGTGCCTCCATTTTCTTGTCTGGAAACAGAGATGAATAATAATAATGCCTTCCTCACAGAGCAGTGGTGGGAATTGAATGAGTCAGTTAATGTATATTAAGTGCTTAGAGTGATGTCTGGTACACAGAATTGTCTATGGAAACTCCCTGTCGAATCTTTCTAGGATTTAGTGAATGCAAATACGAACACCTAAAAAATGGTCCTGCTGATTCTGGCCATTACAGCACTCACTGCATGTCCTTGACAACCAATGTCTTCCTTGAAAATTCACAGCACTGATGGGGAAAGGCTTGATCCATCCTGCTTGACAGAGGAAACCACCGAAAGCAGAAGAGGGAGGGAGGGGCTTCCCCCAAACAGCAGCAGGCTTGTGGGAGCTGGAGTCGGGCCTTGAGCCCACATCAGCCTGACTCCAGGTCCACACATTCCAGGCCCTTCAGGCACAATCCTGAATGTTTTTCAGTGGCTTCCAGTTTCAGTCTCACAACAAAGCCGTAAAAGAAGTCCCCTGGGCCAGGCAAGGGACACGTGGAGCTGACTTGTGTTTCCCTCCAGGTGTGGCAGGTGAGACGGAGCTGCAGGTGAACCAGCCTGAGAGGTCAGTGTCTGTCGCAGCCGGACAGACAGCCACTCTGCGCTGCACCCTGACCTCCCTGCTCCCCAGTGGGCCGGTTGAGTGGTTCAGGGGAACAGGGCCAGCCCGGGAGTTAATCTTCAGTTTCAGAGGAGGCCACTACCCCCGAGTAACAAATGTTGCAGACACCACAAAGAGAAACAGCACGGACTTTTCCATCCGCATCAGTAACATCACCCCAGCAGATGCCGGTACCTACTACTGTGTGAAGTTCCAGAAAGGGGCCCCTGATGTGGAGTTTAAGTCTGGACCAGGCACCAGGATGTTTGTACGTGGTAAGTCCAGATCCCTAAAAACCCAGGCTGGTTGTTCTAAAGACAGATCACAAGCTCCAGGCTCTCAGCCCAAGGCTCCCCCTTTGTCAGCCCTTGTGTTAAAGTTGAGGATAGAAGATGGGGAAAGTGAGAAATCACAGCACGGGAGCAGAGTGAAATATAATCCCAGGGCCCCTAGCAAGAGAGTTAGAATCTTACATTTTCAAAGGCCACAAAATAGACCGGAAAGCAGAGTGAGTAAAATTACAGGCACCAGGGCCAAATGGCCTGGATTCAACTTCTAACTCTGCCATTTTCAAACTGTGTGACTTTAGTGACTTCCTTAAATTCTCTGTGCCTCCATTTCCTCATCTGTAAGATAGGAATAATAATTGTACTCACCTCGTAGATTTGTTATGAGGAGAACAAACGTAAATGAGTTTATAAATATAAAACACTTAGAAGAGCACCTGTAACCTAATTATTGTATTAGTGTATATTGTCACTATTCAGGATATTAAAACCAATTAGACCTAAAAACATAATCTTAAAGGCATGAAACCATAGATTCATAGAAACAAGGAATGAAATTTTACAAAAATGTAAAAGACTGAGAAAAGATAAACAGAGCATCAGTCAGCTATGGGAAAACCTCAAGTGGCCTACTAAGTATGTATTAGAGACTCTAAAGGAAGAAGGGGACAGAAAGAGTATTTGAAGAAATAATGGTTGTATTTTTCCAAATATGATGAAAACTATGAACCTATGGATCCAAAAATCTCAGTGAACCCCAAGTACAAGAAACATGAAGAAAACTACACCAAAGTGTATCATATTCCAATTGCATAAAATCAGTAATAAAGAAAAGATCTTACAAACAACCAGAAGAAAAGGGAAATATTCGATACAAAGGAAAATAAATTTGACAGCAGATTTCCCATTGAAAAATTATGTAAGCCAAAAGATAGTAGAGAAACATCTTCAAAGCATTTTTAAATGAGATAATATAACAATCCTAAATGTTTATTCACCCAATAAGAGAGCTTTAAAATACATGACACAAAAACTCATAAAATAGTAAGGATGGAGAGACAAGTCCACAGCTATAGTTTCAGGTTTCAACACTCCTCTTTCAATAACCGGTAAGACAAGTAGGCAGAACATCACTAAGTATGTAGAAGACTGAACGGCATTATAAAACAATCTGAGTTAACTGACATTTATAGAACACTCCATCCCAAAACAGCAGGGTACACATTCTTTGTGTAAAAACACATTCATTTCAAATGCAAAGGGAACACTTACCAAGATGCATCATATCCTGGGCTATAAATTGTCTCAGTAAATTTAAAATAGGTTAAGTCATACAAAATGTGTTCTTATTGGAATTATATTGATAATAACAAAATGATGTCTGGAAAATCCCCAGATATTTGGAAACAAAAGGATACACTTCTGAATAATATGTTATCAAAGAAGAAGTAAAAGGGAAATGAGAGAATATTCTAAACTGAATGAACATGAAAGCACAACATACCAAATTTGTGGATGCAGCCAAAACAGTGCTTAGGGGGAAATTTATAGCACTAAAATGCCTATATTAGGACAGAAGAGAAGTTTCAACTCAGTGACCTTAAAAATTAGAACAAGAAGAATGAGTGAAACCCAAAGTAACCAGAAGAAAGGAAATAATAAAGAAGAGAGCAGAAATCAAAAATAGAAAATGGAAAACTAGGAGAAAACCAATAAAACTGAAAGCTGGTTCTTTGAGAAAATCAGCAAAATTTATAAACTCTTAGCCACACAGTCAAGAAAAAAGAGAGTACACAAATTACCAATATCAAGACTGAGAGATGGGGTGCTAGGCTGGCTCAGTTGGAAGAGCATGCGACGGTTGATCTCAGGGTCATGACGTTAAGCCCCACCTTGGGTGTGTAGAGATTACTAAAAAAATAAATAAATACATAAACTTTAAAAAAAAAGAATGAGAGAGGTAACATCCCTACCTCTTTAATGCATATATTAAAAAGATTATAAGGAAACTATGAAAAATTTTATACCTATAAACTCAACAACTTAGATGAAATGCACAAATTCTTCAGAAGACACGGGCTACTAAAGCTCACTCCAGAAGAAGTCAATAGCCTGATTATTTCTATTTATTAAAGAAATTGAATTTGTAGTTTAAAAAGCCTCCCACAAACAACAGTCCAGGCCCAGATGACTTCACTGAGGAACTCTACCAAACACTGAAGAAAGAAATGCTAACCATTCTACACAAATTCTTCCAAAAAATTGGAGAGAGAGTGATGCTTCCCAATCAATCCTTAAAACCAGCATTACTGTGATACTAAAGCCAAATAAAGAAAACTTGAAGCCAATATCCCTCATGAACATAGAATTATTATAAAGCTACAAAAATCATTCACTGTAGTATTGGCATCAAGATAAACAAGTAGATGGGGTGCCTAACTAGCTCAGTCAGAAGAGCACTCTTGATCTTGGGGTCATGAGTTTGAGCCCCACATTGGGTGTAGAGATTACTAAAAATAAATAAACTTAAACAAAAGAGACAAATAGATCAATGAAACAGAATAGATTCCAGAAATAATACCATGCATATGGTCAATTGATTTCTTTTAAAAAAAGTAAAGGCAATTTCATGAGGAAAGAAGCCTGCAACAATAGTGGTGGATCGATAGAGGGGAGGGGGGTGGGGGGATGGGTTAGCCTGGTGATGGGTGTTGAAGGGGGCACGTTCTGCGTGGAGCACCGCGTGTTATGCATAAACAATGAATCATGGAACACTACATCAAAAACTAATGATGTAATGTATGGTGATTAACATAACAATAAAAAATTTTAAAAAAATAGTGGTGGATCGATTGGAAAATTAGTAAGCAAACCAGTGGAACAGAATAAAAAATCCAGAACAGTTCCTCCCACCACAAGCCAAAATTAATTCCACATGGATCAGATATTTAAATAATGAAACTGTGCAAGTATGAGAAGCAATCATGTCTGGATTCTTTTATAATCTGGAAATGGGGAAAACCTTCCCAACTATAATTCAAAACAAATAATCAAGTCAAAAAGTGAGCAGAAGATATGAAAAGACACTTCTCTGAAGAAGACATACAAATGGCTAACAGACACATGAAAAAATGTTCATCATCATTAGCCATCAGGGAAATTCAAATCAAAAACACATTGAGGTACCACCTTACACCAGGTAGAATGGCAAAAATGGACAGGGAAAGAAACAACAAATGTTGGAGAGGTTGTGGAGAAAGGGGAACCCTCTTACACTGTTGGCGGGAATGCAAGCTGGTATAGCCACTTTGGAAAACAGTGTGGAGGTGCTTCAAAAATTTAAAAATAGAGCTACCCTATGACCCAGCAATTGTACTCCTGGGTATTTACCCCAAAGACGCAGATGTAGTGAAAAGAAGGGCCATATGCACCCCAATGTTTATAGCAGCGATGCCCGCAATAGCCAAACTATGGAAAGAGCCGAGGTGCCCTTCAACAGATGAATGGATAAAGAAGATGTGGTCCATATCTACAATGGCATATTACTCAGCCATCAGAAAGGATGAATACCCAACTTTTACACCAACGTGGATGGGACTGGAGGAGATTATGCTAAGTGAAATAAGTCAAGCAGAGAAAGTCAATTATCATATGGTTTCACTTATTTGTGGAACATAAGGAATAGCATGGAGGACATTAGGAGAAGGAAGGGGAAAATGAGGGGTGGGGAATGGGAGGGAGAGATGAACCATGAGAGACTATGGACTCTGAGAAACAAACCGGGTTCTAGAGGGGAGGGGGGTGGGGTGACTGGTTAGCCCGGTGATGGGTATTAAGGAGGGCATGTACTGCGTGGAGCACGTGTTATACGAAAACAACGGATTGTGGATCACCACATCAAAAACTAATGATGTATTGTATGGTGACTAACATGACATAATACAATTTTTTTAAAAATGCAGGAACAAAAAGAGAAAAAAATGACAATTTGATCATATTGTACGAAAAGAAACTCATGTATGGAAGTGTGTGTGCAGACACTATGTTGCAACTTATAATACAAAGAATCACCCCTAACGCATATAGAGAGCTTCTAAAATTTTACAACAAGCAACTTTATAGAATTATGGGCAATAAATATGAGAAGACAATTTGTAGAAAGTGAAATAGAAACATCTCCTAAATATATAAGAGTATGTTCAATCACCCTCACATGAAAGGATATGCCATTTAAAACTACATTGGGACACAATTTCTCACCTATCTGCTTGGCCAAAACTCCAAAAGTTTGACAACACACTCTGTTGGAGGAGCTATGGGAAAACTGATACTTCCATATTTTGTATGTAGAAATTCAAAATCACGTAAGTCATAAGGAAGTGGATTTGGCAATATTTAGCAAAATTACATGTTACAGGGGGTGGGGGAATGGGTTAGCCTGGTGATGGGTATTAAAGAGGGCACATTCTGCGTGGAGCACTGGGTGTTATGCACAAACAATGAATCATGGAACACTGCATCAAAAACTAATGATGTAATGTATGGTGGTTAACATAACAATAAAAAAAATTATTAAAAATTACATGTTACATATACATATATACATTACCCTGTGTCCTAACAATCTTACTTTTAGAAACTTATCCCAAAGATATACTAACATAAGTGCAAGATGATTTATGGTTAGGCTCTTGATTACAACACTATGGGTAAGAATAAAAGACAAGCTGCTAAATAAATTATGGTAGAGTCACACAATGGAGTACTATAACTTTAAAAAGACATGAGAAGAAGTCAGCACTTTGCTTCAGCATGACCCACAGAATATCATTAAACAAGAAGCAGAGCACACCATCTTTTATGTTAAGAAGAGTGGGAAATACAAGCTTATCCATATTTGGTTATATTCTTTTAAAAGAGGAATAAAAGTGCAGAGGATCATAGGGGAAGGGAGGGAAAACTGAATGGGAAGAAATCAGAGAGGGAGACAAACCATGAGAAACTCTTGACTCTGGGAAACAAACTGAGGGTTGCTGGAGGGGAGGTGGGTGGGGCGATGGGGTAACTGGGTGACAGGCATTAAGGAGGCACGTGATGTGATGAGCACTGGGTGTTATATGCAACTAATGAATCATTGAACACTACATCAAAAACTAATGATGTACTATATGTCAGCTAATTGAATTTAAATAAATAAAAATAGGAAAAAAAAATTACCTATCAGGGAAGAAGGCAAGAGGGTAGAAGGGACAGGGATGAAAGTTAGACTTCTCTGACTGTCCTTTGCCTGAGGTTTTGATTCTATAAACGTATGCACATTTTAAATAATTAATAAATTAAAAATTAAAAAATTCCTAAATATCTAGACTACGAAATCTAAAATTTAACTAATTAATCTAACCATATATTGATGGCTTACCCAGATAAGGAGCAATTATTTCAAGAGACTTTGAAACACAGGGTTTTAGCTTAGATTCACCAAGCAGATCTGAAACAAATATTTGAGTGCCAGGAACCCCAGTAGGCAAGTGGTGAAGTCGGACAGTTAGTGAAGGGTGTGTCATCAAGCCCACCACCACTGTGGGCAAATGGAGCTTAATCAGATGAGAAACTATGGGAAATGATACAGAACGTGTATTAGATGTATCCCTCTTGAAAGGAAAGAAGTTTGGGCTAAATATATACCAACTCCCTCTCAGTCATTGACTGAGAACTGTTCTCAGAGGGTGTTAGATGCCCCATATTTTCAGTGTTCCATGTGCACAGACAACCTTCCATAAAAGCAACCTTCTGAAAAAGCTTTCAGGAGAAAACATGCATATACAGGCATTTGGAAGTAGTCCTGAGTGCACTGGGGTGGTCAAGCTCAAGGAATCTGGGTGTGCCTTGGAGAGTATACGTTATACATAATAATTTGTATCTATATCCCCAATGAAACGTATCCTAAGAACAAGGAGAACCATGAAGAAATCCAAAACTCTATTCAGTAATTTGGTAATAATATTTGGTGTTGGTGTTTATAAGTATTATATATGTGTTGTAGGTTAAAGCAAATAAATGTGTTGGTGTCCTTAGGAACTGGAATTTTCAGGATGAGAGAAAGATACAGAGCAGAAACAAAGACGTTAAGTTTAACAACTGCATTCTTTTTTCTTTATTTTTTAAGATTTTATTTATTTATTTCAGAGAGAGCGAGAGAGCACACGTGCACACTCAAGCAGGGGGGAGGGGTTGAGGGAGAAACAGACTCCCGGCCAAGCAAGGAGCCTGATGCAGGACTCAATCCCAGGATCCTGGGATCATGACCTGAGCTAAAGGCAGGCACTTAACCAACTGAACCACCCAAGTGCCCTAAAAACTGCATTCTTAAAACTGGATTATAACTATCAGTATTAACCTGTTTAATTGTCTCCCTCCTTAAAAAATACTTACTTCATAGCCCTGTCCCCCAAAAAGGACCTGGAAGCAGTGACAACCTAGTAGTAATGAGCACCACTAAAACACAGATTATGGTCTCTTAATAGCACTTCCACAAAAAACAACCAGGGCTGCATAGGGCAATGACGGATTCCGGATCTTGGACAGGAAATGTGCAAAATGAGCATGGAATATTTTATTGTGTGAAAAGCAAGGAAGCTATTGGTGTTTACTGAAATTATATAAAAAAACTCAGGAATTGGGGCACCTGGGTGGCTCAGTCGGTTAAGCATCTGCCTTTGGCTCAGGTCATGATCCCAGGGTCCTGGGATCGAGCCCCGCATCGGGCTCCCTGCTCGGCGGGAAGCCTGCTTCTCCCTCTCCTGCTCTCCCTGCTTGTGTTCCCTCTCTCGCTGTCTCTCTCTCTGTCAAATAAATAAAGAAAATCTTTAAAAAAAAAAAAAAACTCAGGAACCAATTTCAAGGAGGCTTCCACTGGCTAAAGATGAGATGATTTGAGCATTAAAAAGTTTAAAAATAAAAATAGATTGACATCTATCAATCCATGTTAAAAACCATGATTTTATAATGATACAAAAATAAAAACTTCATTGGTCACCTCTGGGAGCTACTAAGGCACCAACTCATTGTTCTAAAATCTAAAGGAGAGTAAGCAAAGGCATTTTTACCCTGCCTTTCCTTTATGAACTGTATGTCAAAATAACCAAAAATAGTTGGAAGGAAAAAATAATTTCAACTGATACAGACAGAAGGAATAGTAACATTAGTAGTCACCAGTGTATAACCCCTGGTGGAATGATGGGTCTAGACATTATTATCTACATTTGTTAAAGATTTGGGCTAAAGGCTGGTAGAGAACTTCACAGCAGATAGATCAAGCTGACAACACCCAAAGCCAATAGTCAATCTGAACACCATAAAAAGAAATAGCTAGATATTACATGCCTCCTAATATAATGCATTAGGAAGTTGTTGGCAACACCTATGAAGTATTCTTGCCAAAATCATGAACCTGGTTCTAATCAACTAGATCCTTTAGATCCAACTGCAGGCAATATAGGGGAAAGAAGATCATTTCAAATGATACAACAGGAATATATGCAAAAATATGGAAAATTCTGCAGGTTTTTCCAGCAGACTTGGGTTTTTTCAACAAATAAATATTAAGAAAAATAAGAGGAAAGGGAAACTCTTTTAGAAAAGGACATGTAAAAGAAATAGCAAGGGGTGCCTGGCTACTTCAGTCAGTAAAACATTCAACTCTTGATCTCAAGGTGCTGAGTACAAGCCCCACATTGGGCAGGGAGCCTACTTGAAAAAAAAAAAAAGACATAGCAACAAAATGTAACAATGGATCTTGTTTACATCCTTATTCAAACAAACCAATTATAAAATATTTGTGAGACAAGCAGGAAAATTTGAATACTGACAAGTATTAGATAATATTAAAAGAATTATTATTAAATTTTAGGTATGATAATGAGATTTTGATTATGTTTAAAAATAATTTTTTTAAGAGAAGAGAGAGAGAGCTCTAGAGCACAAGCAGGGGACAGTGGGCAGAGGGAGAGGGAGAGAGAATCTTAAGCAGGCTCAACACCCAGCACGGAGCCCAACATGGGGCTCGATCTCACAACCCTGAGATCATGACCTGAGTCGAAATCAAGAGTTGGATGTTTAACCAGCTGAGTCACCCAGGCACCCCTTGATTATGTTTAAAAAATAATTCTTAATTCTTAAGTATACATGCTGAGGTAGTTGTGAATGAAATGACAGTGTCTAGTTTTGCTTTAAAATAACGCAGTGGATGGTAGAAGTATAAATGAAACATTGGTTGATAACTGTTGAAGTCCCAGGATGAGTACTTTGTATTTTTCTTTTGAGAGAGAGAGCATGTGTGAGCAGCGGGGGAGGGGGGGGAGAAGAGAATCTTAAGCAGGTTTCACGCCCAGCATGGAGCCGGACTTAGGGCTTGATCTCATGACCCTGAGATCATGACCTGAGCCAAAATCAAGAGTTGGACCCTTAACTGACTGAGCCACCCAGGCACCCATGTACTTTGTATTTTTAAGGTGTGTTATAAACGTGTTTTTTTTTTTAACCCAAGCCTGCATTCTCCCTGAAAAGTCTTTGTGTACTCCCGGGGGTTCGTGTACCCTAAACTGAAGTTCACTACAGTACTTAGCAGTATCAAACAATCTGGGAGGAGTTATACCTATCTGGCAGAAAGTTTAGGGATGAATTTGTTATAGGCTCATAAAAACTAAGCAAATAAAAAGAATAAGACAATTAGGGGCACCTGGCTGGCTCAGTCGAAAGAGCATGCGACTCTTGATCTCAGGATCATGACTTCAAGCCCCACATTGGGTGTAGAGATTACTTAAATAAATAAAAACTTTAAAAAGAGAGAGAGACAATTAAAAACTGGGGCGGGGGGAAGCTGTACAAGAAAGGAAATATAATCATGATATATTACGGGGCCCAGTTGTGAACAATCCTCCTTTGGTCATAATAATATAAATGATGAATACTGATAAAATAAAAGACTTTGATGTGTCTATGATAAGAGGATGTAAGGAAAGGAAGTATGAATGACAGGTGGCGGGAGATGTGAGAGCTAAACCATCATCTTCCATAGTAGTAGGTATATTCATAATATATAAAACTGAAAAAAAGAGAAATAACTGTATAAGCATCTTATTTAGAAACACAGAGAGAGGGCACCTGGGTAGCTCAGTTGGTTAAGCATCCAACTCTTGATTTCAGCTCAGGTAATGATCTCAGGGTCGTGAGATCCAACCCCGTGTCAGGCTCCGTGCTGACTGTGGAGCCTGCTTGAGATTCTCTCTTTCCTTCTCCCTCCGCCCCTCCCTGCTCAACACAGAGAGAAATGTTCAAAGAATCAGCTATAATAGTTAAAAGTGGTTGGCCTGCAATTTTTTTTCTAGAAGAGGAAGCAAGAGGATCTGATGTTTTTAGTTCTCTACCTTATATGACTTTTTGGACAATGTACTTCAGGAAGGAGGGGAGAGAGGGAGGGAAATGACAAGATCTGATCTGTATTTTAACATGATCACCAAGGTCTGTCGAGTGCATGTGGCAAGGATCGAGGAGCAGTCAGTGAGGCCAGTTGGCAAAGCTATTACAGTAAGAAGTGTCATAATAAAAATTACACAGAGGAGAAAACTGGAGATGAGAGATTGAGGTGAGTCTAGCTGGGCGAACCATAAGGGCGGGTATCGCACTAGAAAGTAACTTGCCATCTTTACGTTTCTCTCTTCTCTCTCAACTTTGCCTTGACGGAAGCTAAGCCCTCTCTTCCAGAGGTTTCGGGCCCCTCCAACAGGGCCAGCCCAGGCCAGACAGTGAATCTCACCTGCACATCAACTGGCTTCTTTCCCAAAAACATACACCTGAAATGGCTTGAAAATGATGTGGAGCTTCCGGCATTTCAGACCCTGGTCTTCCTGCCTAGAGATGCTGGATCCTACACCATCGTCAGCACGGTGCTGGTGACCCTTGACTTATCCTCACTCCACTCCCAGCTCACCTGCCAAGTGGCTCACAGTACATTGCAGAGCCCCCTCAGTAGGCACGTGAACATCTCCAAATTCCTCCAAGGTAAGGGCCCCCACCTCCCACCCAAATGGCCAACCCTTGGTGACCACCACCGGTTCCCTGTTTGGAGCACTTCACCTGCGTCCTCCCATTTATTCTTCACCAAACCCCACATAAGATGGGTACAAGGTCCCCTATCTTAGCTGACCATCCTCTTCTTACAAGATGCCATGGTCGGGTCCTTCTCCTTCAGAGCTGTTTTCACTTTCTTGTATTTGGGGAGTGGAAGCTCATTCATTTATTCAACAAGTTTATTGAGCATCTGTGATGTGGCGGTATTATTCTACGTGCTGCGGAGTCCATGGTAAACAGACCAGACCTAGTTCTACACCACTAAACTCACAGGCACGTGAGCCCCATCAACAAGATGCAAAAACTATATACAGTTCTAACTTTTTTTTTAAGATTTATTTATTTGAGGGAGAGAGTACTGGGAGGAGGAGCAGAGGGAGAGGGAGAGAGAGATCCCAGGCAGACTCCACGCTGGGCATGGAGCCCAGGGCGGGGCTCAATCTCACAACCCTGAGGTCATGACCTGAGCCAAAACCAAGAGTCGGATGCTTAACCGCCTGAGCCACCTAGGCGCCCCACACGCTTCTCACTTATAACATGTGCTATGAGAGAAAAGAACTGAGTATTAAAATAGATGAAAACAGGAGAAATGTAGTATACTGAGGAAACGCCTTTTTGGAGAAGTGATGTTTGAATCACAGCATGAAAGATGAAAGGGGGTCAGCCAAGGAAAAAGTGGAGTGTTCCAGGCAGAAGAAACAGCGGTGCAAAGGCCCTGTGACGGGGGTGGGAAGCGAGACATGTTTGAACAGTAGAGAGGAGGAAGAGGTCCATGTGGTCAGGGCTTAGTGAGAAGAAGGGTGCGTGGAGAAGGCGGAGGCTGGAGAGAGAGGAGCAGGAACAAGACCGCACAGGACTTCAAGCCACAAGAAGGAAGTTTCTCCCTCTTGCACTGTCCACGTGAACTCTTAACACCATTGTGCAAGCCACCACGCTTTGCTGCCAGTCATTGCATTTGAAACACACTTCTTAAACCCACCCCCACATCAGGGGAGGGGACAACGCAGGGGAAAATGCAAGACTACCCCCCTGCCCCCCTTGTTCTGACTTCATAAGGATGAGGCCATTACTGCAGTGTTCAATATGGAAGGAAAGTAAAGGAAGGAAATCACCCTTTCTGCTCTGGAAGTCCACAGCCTGGCCTGGGCAAGGGTGTCCCCAAGGTGGTTGCACTCTCCTCAGCCACCACCCCCCCAGCAACCTCAGAGGGCAGAGACCCACTCACTTCCTACAAATGGGCACATCCTTTCCAGGGCTCCAGAGCCCCAGTGCTCCTTCTCCGTCTGCTCCAGCCAGAGCAAATCAAAGAGAAAACCCATTAACAGCATCACAATCTCCACAACCCCCCTCACCACTGGAGATAATTTGTGGTACCAAGGTAAAGAGTTTAGCTCATCATTTTGGAAATGCCTCCCTCCCTAAATAGTAGCCTGCCCTTGCTTAGCCAAAAGATACCACGAGAGGGTTCCAGCTTGGAAACGGAATTCTAGCCTCCACCTGGAGCATCCCAAAAAAGCTATGTGTCCCTGCTTCATGCAGATGAGGAAGTCAAGGCTCAGAGAAATGAAATGATTTGTCCAAGGTCACATGGCTCTTAAGTTTGTGAGCTGGAATTTGAACCCAGTAATACACCTCTTGGATGATCATGTCAGACTTCCCTCCTCTAAGAAGTCCCCATGCAGAGATACCAAAGCAAGGCAGTCCCCCTTCCCCAGGGAAGGTGCTTTGGTCATGGTCAGCTAAGAGATGGGCATTGTGCTGCTCTTTGCACTCTCTCCAAACCTCTGGCTCCTCCTCCTTCCCCATACCAATGAAGAGACACTCCATCAACCCCAATCATCCAAGCCAGAGACCTGTTTTACCCAACCCACCACCAAGTTCTACCAAATTCACTTCTCACATCTCTCCGACCCCATCCATTTCTTTCTACTGTCACTGCCCAGGTTCATCCCCAAGTTCAAGGCAACCTGGACACCACAGCCCCCTTCTCTCATATCCACCATTACCCTCAACAGTGCAGCCCCCAAATCCCCAGCAGTCGAAGACATTTTATAAAGGAAGCCAAGTCTTGTCGCTGCTTTCCTTAAAACCCTTCGGTGGCTCACCACTCCTTTTACAAAAATAAAACAAAATAAAATCCTTATCAGGGCGTTCAACAGCAATCTTCATACATTTTTATTCATGTACCCCTGAGGGAATTGTGAAGAACTATATAGTTCCTCATATATTTTAAAGTTAACATCCAGAATTGTTCATCACAGACTTAAATAGTTGCACGGGCCAGAAAACCCTGGGATTTTACAAATGTTACATCTCTCTGAAATGTTCAACGGAAAAATAAAGCCATACGGATTTGATTTCCACCATCACCCATTACAACAGACATAAACAAGCTCTTCTTTGATAATCAGAAATTTTATAACATTCCTTTTTCTTCCTAAATTTGTATTTCCATTCTAATTCCTGGGGAGAATTTTATCCCACTGTAAATATATTTTATATTTGAAAGTCCTTATTGACCACATCATCACACATATCATAGAGAACTCTGAGAAAACAGAGGACTACCATAAATATATATATATTTATGTTACAAGTTATATTACATATAACTTATTATGTATAATATTCATTATATATATAAATTGAATTTTTAAAACTTTTTCTTATGACCATAGGCTCTAAGTGTTAAAAAATTCTTTCGGATTGAATTACACAATTGATCAAAACAATCTATATATCCAACAAATTGTGATAAACAATTATTAAAATAACCATTAAAATGTTATCAGAAACGCCGCTCAGTGAGCTAGATGGGGGAGATTATGATGCTTTGATTAAAGTAGGCTTTCCGGCCCGCAGGATTTTTGAATCGTCCTTTTATTTTGTGTCCCAGAGTCTTTACACCAAGGGCACTGCCCCATAGCTAGATTCGGGATGTGTGGGAGGAAGGCCTTCCCTCTGTAATGTTGGGAGAAGGCCTGAGGAACAGGAGGCAGGAGTAGGCATTCTCAGGCAGATCAATTTCAGGAAAGAATCATATGAGGGCTCAGGACCCAGAAATTAATTATATTAAACTACCAAATGTATGGACTCCTTAGGATGTCATTATGTGCGCTCAGGGGTAAGTATAGCACCAGTAAACGCAGACAGTCTTTATGGTCACTGGTCATCTTGCCCATGCTCCCTCTCACTCACTCTGATCATCTTTCTGTCCTTGGACACGCTAGGCTTCACCTCAAGGCCTCTGCCCATGCCCTACCCTCTGCCTGAGATGCACTTTCGCAAACATCCCCTCGCCCAGAGCCTGCCTTCCTCTGGCCCTCCACCAGCCCCTTTGCCTAATGTTCCAGTTACCAGGACTGCATAACAAATTTTCCCCAAACATATTCCAATGCTCTAAACTTACTCCAAATCTCCCAAATTATGATGCTCACATATTCTGTAGGGCAGGAATTTGGAGAGGGCCTGGCAGAGATGGCCTATCTCTGCCCCATGATGTCTGGGACCTCACCTGAATGACTCCACAGCTGAGATTATCACAAAGCTGCCTCACTAATATGTCTGTCCATTGGTGCTGGCTATGGGCGAGGGGCTTCAGTTCTTCTTGGCATCGGCCTCTCCTGATCATCTTTCCACGCAGGCTAGTTAGAGCATCCTTGTAGCTTGATGGCTCTGTTCCAAAAGTGAATGTCCCAAGAGTCCCAAGGGGAAGTCACATCAACTTTGATGACCAACCCTTGGAAGTTACAGTGTCACCTCTGCTATACTCTCTTCATCAGGCAGTCACAAAGTCCCACCCAGGTTCCAGGGCAGAAGTAGACTCGCCTTCTGGTGGGGAGTGGCAAGGTTCCGGAAGACAGCTGGGAATTTGCTGTGGCCATTTTTGGAAAATACAATTTGCCACACATAGTTAACTCCTATTCGTTTTTCATACTTCTGCTGAAAGGTCACTTCTTCCAGAAACTCTTCCCTAACCTGCCCCACCTCCAGACCTGGTCAGGTGCCCCCATGTAGGTTCCCAGAACCCCTCCGAGGCTCACGTGACTGCTTTTCTTCTTCCCTGTTCTCCCCACCAGAGCAGGAGCTCAGTGTGTGTCTGTCTTACTTACTGCTGTAGCTCAAGAACCAAGGGCAGTGCCTAGAAAGGTAAGGATGCTCCTTGAGCTTCTTTTGCTTGAGGGAAGGAAGGAACAAAGGAAGGGCTATTGTTTCAGTTATACCCACAGTGACTGTTTCATCCCACCGAGTCCCAAGCCTCCAGCTGGCCATCCTCACCTGCTACGTGCAAAGGTTCTACCCTGAAGTCATACAAATCACCTGGCTGGAGGTGAACAGACGCTTTAAGGCCTGTGAGCCTCCCACCCCCACCAAGAACCCAGACGGCACATTCAACCAAGACAATCATATCCTGGTTTACACCTCAGAGGACAAAGCGCTGTTCACCTGCGAAGTGCGGCAAGAGGCCCAGCCACTGATCCAGGCCCGCGTGCGGCTGAGTGAGTCCAGAGACCAGCCAGCGTGTTTGGGTGAGTAGGGGTGGAATAACGCAGCAGTTCAAGGTTCAGACCTGGACACAGACAGGCCAGGTTCACACGCTGGCTCTGCCATGTTTGTCATGTGTGACCTTGAGGAAGTTACTTCACCTTTCGGTACCTCAGTTCCTTCATCTATAAAATGGGACAGCAGTTAGAGCAACCTCTGCAGAGTGTGCTGCCTTAGGGACCAAAGAGCTGTAAGCACCACTTTCATCACACAGTGGGATTCTGACCATGTAGCCACGGCACCGGCTCTTCCAGTGAATAAGTTCATACGAATTATCGTGCTCCTTTTCCACCCACCCTCTCAAAAGCCATTCAGATTCAACAATTACTGAGTCCCTATTAGGTACTCTGTTTGGTGTTCTCCTTTGATACAGGAACGTTCTAAGGTATACGTTATCATCCCCTTTTTAAAGACTAGGAAACAGCTTAGAGAGGTGAGGGGATTCCCTCTTAGTCCAAGGTGTAGTCTTGGTACCTGAGTCAGGGGTGAGGCTGGGCCTGCCTACGGGTTGAGTGGTGGGAACCAGAAGCCGCGTCCATCCTAATATCTTTCCAGATGCCAGGGCGTCCAGCTTCCTCTCTGGGACCCTCATCCTGCTTGGCTGGAAATTGTTTCCCTTGACTGCACTTTGCATCATCTATGTCCTCAAGAGGAGATTCCCTTCCAAGTAAGGGGGACCTCAGATAGGGGTTGGGCTTCCCAGGGGCCAGGAGACTCCAGGCCAACAGGCGGCACTGTGAGGAGAAGCCACACAGCACTCCCATTTCTTTCTTTTTTTTTTTTTTTTAAGATTTTATTTATTTATTTGACAGAGAGAGCACAGGGAGAGGGAGAAGCAGGCTCCCTGCTAGATCCCAGAACCCTGGGATCATGACTCGAGCCGAAGGCAGCTGCTTAACCCACTGAGCCACCCAGGGGCCCCATCAGCACTCCCATTTCACACTGACCTTGAAGGCATGTGGAATCCAGAGCGTCCCTATAAGAGCCACACCCCAATCCCTTCAAACCTTCCCCTCTGCCCCTCACAGCTCCAGTCTGAAGGTGCACAAAGATGCAGGCTCCCCTGGTCTGGGCAGGGGGAGCACTGAAGGAGGGAGAGTTAATACGAAGACAACACTTTTGAGGTGGCCTGTGAGGAGAAGTCTGAGAACAAGGGCTTTGCCCCAGCTCCCTGCTTCCCCTGCAGGTCACAGGTGCCACAAGGCCCTCCTCAGGGACACAGGGCCCTCAGTTCCCTCCTGTTTTATTTAGCAGGACTGATGCAGGAGAGGCACTGGCCATGAAGTCTGCAATCACTACCAAAGCTTCTCCTGCCTCACCAGACTTCTGAGACCTGTCCTGCGCTGGCTGTCCCTCACTGTCTCCTGCAGGCCCCAGAGAAAGTGAGAGCCTGGACCGGGAGGGTCAGTAGTGAGAGGAAGGCTCTCACATCCTATTAAGGAAAGAAGCTTTTCCGTGGATTCTGGGCATGAAGTTCATGACCCTGAGCAAGAAACCCAGCAGAGGCAAAACAAGCTCCTACCCAGGGAGAAACACAAACCTGCAATTCTGAAGCCCCTCCCCAACTCCTCAAGGAAAGCCCATGGTGGACACCGAAACTGGCATGAAACCTTTACAGCTCCATCATTAAAATGGGATTAAAAGAAACATTTATGGCCAATAAACATATGAAGAGATGTCCAATCTCACTAGTAATCAGGAAAAGCCAAAGCAAAACCATTTTCTCCCTATTCCAGGGGATAAAATAAAGAAGCAACTGGCTCCTTCTTATGTTGCTGATACGTATGTAAATCAGCACAACTACTTTGGGAAACAGTTTGGAAAATTTGAACTTGGACATTTGCATTCTCGATAACCTGCTATTTCCACCTTTGAGTTATATACATACCCTAAAGAAACTCTTCACCTGTGCTCCAGGAGATGAATATTCAAGTATATACATGGTAGCATGGTTTCAAATTAGAAAAACCTGAGAGAACCATCCAAATGCACATCCACAGGATGACGGGCAAATAATGTAGTACAATCCCAGAATGGAATGTTATACACTAATAAAAATGAATGAACTATAGCTACACACAATAATATGGCTAAATCTTAGCAAAAAAATATTAGGAGCGAGTAAGCCCCAAAAGATTTTATACAGCATGATACTATGTTTATAAAGCTAAAAACATCTAACAAATGGTTTTTAGGGATACATATAAAAATGATAAACCCATATTCTTTCCAAAAGGATGAACTCAAGATTTTAAATAGTAGTTACCTGAGGTGGGGCAGGGAAAGGGATGAGAAGGGTGGGTATGTATAGGTAGATGGAAGTTAATATCAGGATTCTAGCTTCCATGCTGGGTGGTGTCTTCATGAATGTTTATATCATTATAAATTAAAAATAGAAAAACAATATAAGATCGATAAATAGGTATGCCAATAGATAGGTAGATAGATGGGCAGGTTATTGGAAGGAAGGGAGGGAGGGAGGATGAATGGATGGATGGATGGATGGATGAATGGATGGTAGAGAGAGAAAGAAAGATGGATGGATGAATGGATAAGTAGATTAATAAAAGAGGGTCATTAATGGATCAATGATAAGGGTGTGATGAAGCAAGAATTATGATAGGTACAATTCTACATACTTAAGATCCAAAGGAAAAATAAATAGAAGGACAATACCTAAAGAACCCCAAGTTCCCTTCCTATTATGACATTTACAAATCCACATTAGGAAGAAAGCATAGTTGATGGGTGTCACCACGGGTCCAGCACTTCGCAAGCAGGATCTTACTTCATCCTCATACGAATCCCACAAGGTGGGCACCATTCCCCACTTTGCGGTGAGGAATCTAAAGGAACCTACTCAGTGTTACTCAGATAACAAGTGGTGAAACCAAAAAATCCAGATTCAAACCCAGCTCTGCTCAGTGCTTTCCAGGGAGCCACACTGCCTACTGTCTGTGGACAGATGGGGAGACCTTGACTCGCCCTCATTCTACTGCTTCCCAATGTCTCGGGCCTGCTGTTCTACACGAAAGCCCACCCCGTGCCTCCGAGGTGGGAGCGGAAGGGAAGAACACGAACACTTTTCCAGTCATGGAGGAGACCTAGGATTAGTCCTGAGCCCCAAAATAGCCCTGATAAAGATCTGGGGGAGGTAGTGTAGGCCAAGTTCTGGAGAAAGGCTCTCTGTAGAAGGATAAATATGTCCAGCGGAAACAGGCATCCTACTGTGTCTGTTTCACTGTGGCCTTGAACCTTTGTAGTCACAAAGACAGGGATGCTGAGCCCAACCTCCATTCCCCCCTCAGACGTGAGTCTCCTCTTCAACATTTTCTACTCCCAGTAGAGCGGCTTGCACTTCAACATCCCCATCCCCGGCCTCCCATGCTGGGAGCCTTGGGATGCCCTGGCCTCCCTCCCCCACTCCCCTCCCCCCAGAAGCAGGGCCAGGAGCAGGTTGAGGCCAGCAAAGTGCCTGGGGAGCAAAATGTAGAGAGACACTCTCTCTGGGTTGAGCAAGGACAGCAAGGACTTGCCACGTCACATTTTGTGTCCTAGATGCCCTAGGTTTCCAAGTGCCATGACTTCTGCTCCCTCCTGTTCATCTTCATGGTTGCTCAAACCCTGATCGGCATGTACCTTCATCACACTAATAGCCACCTCACGATTCTCACTCTGGAGTTCTCTGAGCCATACACCCTACACAGACCTCAGAATGGTCTTTTCCAAACATTGGCTCAACTACACTTCAATTTTAAAAAAAAATACATAAAAAAAAACCTTCAGATAGTTCCTCAGTCCCTAAGTCATACCTCGAGAAGGTGATAGCGACTACCCCAGGTGTCCCATACCTTGATACCAGAGGGAAAATGAAGCAGTCATAAGAGTCCCAGCTTGGACATGAAGATGCCTCATCCCTTTAGGAGAAAGCTCATGTCCTGAGCAAGCACATAGCTTCCACACAAATAATGGCTCATTGCAAGGAAAGTAATGCCTTCATTTATTCTGCAAATATTACTGAATTTATACTATGTAACAGGCACTGTTTAGACACCGAGGAAACTCTGGTAGACACTGGTAAGGATGGTTCTTACCTTTGTGGAGTTTACAGTCTGATGAGTACAAATACAAAAGAAAGGAGAGAGGGAAGGAGACAGGGAGGGAGGGAGGGAAGAAGAAAGTGATATATGTCCTGAAGAAAATAAAAGGGTACACAAGGTACTGCAGATTGCAATGACCGAGAGCTCCATGGAATCAGGAATTAAATGGCAGCTATCTAGAGAAAGCCTTTCGGAAAAGGGAGTATTTGAGCTGCTATCTGAAAGTTGCAAGAGCCTGGGGAAAGACACTCCTGTTACGGGAACCCATTGCGCCAAGACCTAAGGTATGAAGGAATTTGGAACCTTCAAGGAAGAGGAAGGGGGCCAGTGGGGCTGACATTGGAGAGTAGTGGGACATGGAAAAATGCCAAAGAGATGGACGGGAGACGATCAGATCAGGGCTCCCCCAGTCTCTCCTTCCCCAGTAGCATCTAAGTTGCCTCTATGACATCGATCTCTTGCAGGCATGTGCTAGCACGTCCATCACCCTGTGCTGCCTTTAACTACAGATCCACACAAGTGGCGCTAGAATTAACTTCTTCCTGATCTTGGGGCTTCCCTACATCCGCTCACCTTCAACTTTGCCCACAATCCTCCTAAACACATTGGAAGATCTGGCTACTCTGGGACCCCAGGAAACTCTGCAGGGCTGTCTCGGGTCCTCTCCACCCAGGCAGAGCACATATCCAGATCTGCTCTTTTGCCAGGCCAGACCGGGGCAGGAGCTCCACCAGCCATGTCACCAAGAAGGAACGCACTAGTCCTGACTCTCCAATCCCTCCAAATTGGAGCTGGGTTTTGCAGAAGGAGCAAGTTGCAGGACCTCCTCAGGGCCCCACCAGTGTTGGTTCCCTCCAGCTCCCCTCCACTCCCCCACAGGTGGGGCAATATTGCCTTAGTCTCAGAAGTGTGTGTAAGGAGATGGGCGAGCGGCTTGTGGGGTTGGGGGCGGAACTGGGCTGCAGAGCTCTGCAGTGACACCAACAGGCACATTTTATAACTACATGTCAGAAGGGTTAACTCTGCCTTAAAATGTATCCAGAAACTGACAACATCTCTCCATCTCCACTGCCTGAATTCACCCTCTTCTTTCCTGGATTGCTGCAATTAGCTCCTCACTGGTCTCCCTGCAACTGCCCTTGCCTCTCTCATCCATTCTCGATATAGTCAGCAGAGGATCCCTTTAAAACAATAGTTAGATCTTGTCCTTCTTCTACTCCAAAACCTTGTAATAGCTGCTCATATTACGGAGAGTAAACCCAAAGTCCTTACCTTGGCCCCCATGGCTTCTTACCACCCCCTCTCCTCATTCCCCTTTTGTCACTCTATGTTTTTTCCGTAAGAATGATCACTTTTCTAACATACTGCATGATTTAGTTATTTACTTTATTTATTATATATTGCCTGTCTCCCCCCACATGCCCCCCTCCAACTATATATGTCATCTAAAAAACCCTTACTTTAATTCTAAGGATATATGTAGGCTGAAAGTGAAAGGTGGAAAAAGATATTCCATGCAAATGTGAACCTAAAGAGAGTAAGGGTGGCCATACTCATATCAGATAAAATAGACTTTCAGGGAAAAAAAAAGTCACAAGAAACAAAGATCATTATATAGTGATAGAAGAATCAAATCATCAGGCAGATAGGACAAAAGTTAACCAAAAAATAGATATAAGACCTAACTATATGACCTAAAACTAGAAACTTCTAGAGAAAAACATAGGGGAAGAGCTTCATGAGGTTTGGCCATGATTTTTGGATGACACCAAAGCGAAGACAACAAAGCAAAAATAGGCAAATGGGACTACATCAGATTTTAAGACTTCTGTGCATCAGGCCACCTGGCTGGCTCAGTCAGTGGAGCATGTGACTCTTGACCTCAGGGTCGTGAATTCGAGCCCCACATTGGCTGTAGAAATCACTTTAAAAAATTTTTTTAATTAAAAAAAAAAACCTGTGCATCAAAGAAAACAAAAACACGAAGAAGAAGCAGTCTATGGAATGGGAGAAAATATTTGCAAATCATGTATCTATAAGGGGTTAATTTCTAGAACATATAAGAAACTTCCACAAATCAACAACAACAAAAATAACCTGATCAAAAATGGGCAAGGATTTGAATAAACAAACACCTCTCCAAAGAAGACATACAAATAGCCAACATATGAAATAGCCAAGCATATGAAAATAGATGGTCAACCTCTCCAAGTAGAAATGGGAAATCAAGAGTCAGACGCTGGGGCACCTGGGTGGCTCAGTCAGTTAAGTTTCCAACTCTTGATTTCGGCTCAGGTCAAGATCTCAGGGTCCTGAGATGGAGCCCTGCATAGGGTGCCACGGTGAGCGTGGAGCTTACCTAAAATTCTCTCTCTCCTTCTCCTTCTGCCCTTCCCCCTGCTCGGTGAGCATTCTCTCTCTCTTAAAAAAAAAAAAAAAAAAGAGGGATGCCTGGGTGGCTCAGTAGGTTAAACATCTGCCTTCGGCTCAGTTCATGATCCCAGGCTCCTGATCGAGTCCCACATCGGGCTCCTTGCTCAAGGGGGAGCCTGCTTCTCCCTCTGGCTGCCGATACCCCTGCTTGTGCTCTCTCACTCTGTCAAATAAATAAAATCTTAAAAAAAAAAAAAAAGAGAGACGCTTAACCAGCTGGGCCACCCGGGCGACCCATTCAGCCTTTAAAAAGAAGGCAATCCCATCACATGCTGCAATATACATGAACCTCGAGGAAATCACGCTAAGCAAAATAAACCAGTCACAAACGGACAAATACTGTAGGATTCCATTCATATTAAGTATCTAAAGTAGTCAAAAATCATAGAGACAGACAGCGGAAAGATCGTTGCTGAGGGCTGAGGGAAGAAAGGAGGGGGAATTAGTGTTTCATGGGTATAGAATTTCAGTTTTGCAACATGAAAAAGTTCTAGTCATCTATTGCACCACAAGGTAAATATGCTTAACACTACTGAACTGTACGCTTAAAAATGGTTAAGAAAGTAAATTTAATATTATGGGTTGTTTTTTTTACCACAATAAAGACAAAAGAACACACATACACATACAAAGCTTTGAGATGAATGAAGGAAGCCAGACACCACCAGTCACTGTATGACTCTATATGAAATACAAGAATGAGCAAAACCAATCTATGGTAAATCTGATGGGTTTTTGGCGGGGGGGGGTGGGTTTTTTTGTGTGTGGAACAAAAACCAAGTTTATTTGTTCATTTCTTGCATTTGAAGTATTCCTCGATGACATCCTTCGCCTGAGACTCTTTGCCATAGTCCTTAACCATCACACAACTGCAACCAACCGCTTTATGGGGTTTTCCCTCTCTGTCAGTTTTACAGAGGCCTACCCATTCCCCTAGTTTCTTGTTGTCATCAGCCTTCCTTAGGTTCAGCACCAACTTGACATACATAGGCTCATCACAGTTGGATGCAAGCACACAAAGATGGGCTTGGCGCTTGTCTAAGGCTTTAGCAGCTTCGCGAATTCCACGTGCTAGGCCATCGTGGATGAGGGCGGTCTTCAGCACCTCTTGTAAAGCAGTATTAACCTATGGGGCCAGAGCATTGAGTTCCAGTCTTGGCCTATTAATAACCACTGTTGTGGCTGGACCGGCCCTTGTGGTTCTTATGATTGCAAGATGCCCTTCAGCAACAACCATCAGGAAACTTTGCAAAAGAAATAAAGGTTTATTACTTATGAGACCTGGAAATTACACAGGAAACCCGGAGCCGCACAGCAAGGTCACAGGGTCACAGGAAGAGAGCAAGTGTGCATGGGCATGGGGTTCTGTTTTTATTGGAGTCAGAGGTAGGGGGCTAGGGATTGGTGGGCTCACTATTGCTGAATTTAAAAACAGGATAGCAGGAATTTAAAGCGGGCGAAGAGAAAAAGCAAAAGGACCAAATGGTCAGTTACGGAAATTAACCAAGATCTCTAAAACAAAGGAGCCTGTGGGTGGAGGCGGCCTGGCTCTTTATCCAGCCTGGGGGCTGGCCTGGTGTTTATTTGAGAAGTGGGTACATCCTTGAAATGGATGTCTTGGCAATCAAAGCTTAAGTCAGGCACTTGCATTACAAAAAAGAAAAGAAAAAAAGGAACGACTGTCAGTTCACAACCCTCTGGGGGAACTTCCTGGGTGTAATCTGAAACTGGCAGGCAAACGCACTGAGGGCTAAGGGCTGGGAGAGACCAAAGAAACAGGCAGGCCACTCCAGGCTGATAGACAGCAGTTTTACTTGTGTATTTATTTATTTGTTTATTTATTTAGAGAGAGCACAAAAGGTGGAGGGAAGGGGGGGCAGAGGGAGTGAGAATCTTAAGCAGGCTCCACGCCCAGCGCCAAGCAAAAGGAACTTACATACAAGGCTTGTCTTGGGTGGCAGCAAGACGAATGGATCCCCGCCCCCCACTGCCAATCTTAAATGTTTCTATAGTGGCCTTAACTGGGTTCAGTCACACATGCCATACAAATGTTAACACCACAGGCCACGTCCTTGGAGCAGCCTCTGGGAGCGGAAGGGCAAGTGGGGCCCATATTCCAAGGATGGGAGGAGGTGTGGAGCTTCCCAGTGCCCAGGTTCAGCTCACGGGTCAATGGGCAGCCACATCTTTTCGATGACCTTCCCCAACATCCTGGAAACACACACCTGCTGTCTGCTTGGGTGGCTGACACCCCTACTACACTGGCCATGGACAGAATGTTTGTGTCCCCCTCAAATTCTTCAACATAAGAATTTGTTATGGAATCACACCCCCCAGTGTGATGGTGTTAGGAGGTGGGGCCTTTGGGAGGTGACTAGGTCATGGAGGGGTCCTCAGGAATGGGATTAGTGCCCTTGTAAGAAGAGGCAGGACACAGTTTGCTTCCCCTTCACAACTGTTGGGGCCTTACACAGAGATTGAATGGGAAGGAACAAGAAGGACCCTTCTATGGCTCATGGTGGTGATTACACAGGTGTATACAGATATAAAAAGTCTAAAAATTCAGTGAACCCCGGGTAATACTCGTGCACTTGCATACAGTACTATGTGTGTCCTACCTCAATAAAACCTTCAAATGACACCAATAAGCGCATCATGGGATTTGACAAAGAGCTGGGAAACAAAACGAGAAAGGCCAACCAAGCCATAGGACAGGACCCGTTGCAAGTAGCAGAAAGTCAGGATCAAGGACCTCAGAGGCTTCAGGATTAATGAGATGTCAAATCCTCCTAAATGAAGAGAATGGCAAAAATGATGCTGGTTGACTTCCAAGGTTAGGCTGTAAAAAGCCATGCATCCCTGCTTTGTTCCCCGGGGAATTGTGGGATTTGGTGCTTACAGACCACTGGAAATCCTCACTGCCTTAGGTCACTGCGAGCTCCTGGAGAATCAGGAATCTGCATGACCCACAGGATCGCCACAGTAATGACAGCTTCCTGTGGTCTACAGGTGGCTTACGGAGGCAAGCCTGGGGACCACTGCAACCCTCACATTCACCACCTGCCGATGCCCCCGCATCTGCCTCTCTCCATTTCCAGAGGAGAAACCATGCCTTCCCTTGTCCACCTTCCAAATCTAATGCAAGCACCGCTCCTTGGCAGAACCTAATCCAGAGCAACACTGGCAAGGAGCTCTGGAAAATGTGGTTCCCAGACTTTCAGCCCTCCGATAAAGAGGAGAAGAGAGAAAGGAATGGAGATAAAGCCTGACTGCAAAAACACCAGTATTGCTATTTTTTAAATTGGTGTTTATTTGGTTGCTGATGAGATTGAATGTTTTCCCTAGACTTGCTTCCTGTGTTTTCCATTTTGCAGTAAACAATGAAGAAGCTGTTTTAAAAAGTTTAAGTTTCTTTTTCTTTTTTTTTTTTTTTGGTAGGGAGAAAAATAAAAGGCAATGTTAAGTGTAAACATGTTGTACTCATACCTCAGAAGCCCTTGTTGAAAATATGTTGGGCTGACGCCTGGCTGGCTCAGTCGGTTAAGCATCTGCCTTCAGCTCAGGTCATGATCCTGGATCCTGGGATCGAGTCCCGCGTCAGGCTCCCTGCTCAGAGGAGAGCCTGCTTCTCCCTCTCCCCTTGCTCCTCCCCCCTGCTCATTCTCTCTCTCTCTCTCTCTCTCTCTCTCCCTCTCGCTGTCAGATAAGTAAAATCTTTAAATATATATATATGTTGGGCTAACTCCTCCAGCTAGTTACAGTCACTGCCTGCGACTACCCAGCACACTGACCCTTACTGAGCCCTTACTGGGAGCCAGTGCCCCACCTGTGCATGAGTCCATGTTACAGATAAGTGGGGACAGGGCTAATATTTTTGAAGCACTCTCTTGTGCGTTTTTCCTCTCCCAGTAGTCTAGTTCTGGTTCAGCTGTCCCTTAGCAAAGCTGGAGCCTAAGATTTGCTGCTTTGGGCAGGGGGGTGGAGGGAATCCAGCTGGAACAAAGAAGATCATGTGTTCAGGAGAGGGCTGAGGTTAGGAAAGTCCCTGCAGAAGAAAAGAAGGGGAATGCCTCCCCTTATGACTCTAGTGAAGGGTGGTAAGAAAAAGAGGGAGAAGGGCAGGAGTTGAGATGCCAGGGCCTAGCACCCCCATGCCCTGGGATCAAAACTCTGGGCTAGGGTGGGAATGGAGTATAGATATCCCAGGTATGTTTAGAGATTCTTCAAGCAGAAAGGACCATGGCTTGGCCCCCTAGGGTGTCCAGGGGGCCACAGGGGCCATGTCCAACCTGGCTTCTGAGAAATGGATCAACAAGAGTGCAGGAATTGAATATCTCCAAAAGTGGTAACTATGGTCAACCCTAAGGAGGGTGGTATAGCCCTATAGAGGAGATTTTGAATCCTGTGAATTCTGCTCCCTGTGGATGCCCGTGGGAAATAAATTACCAGAATGTCCATAATTCTTTCCCCCCTCCCTACCTCCACACCCTTGGCAATATTCCTCCGATCAAGAGGTGCAGTCTGTTTTCCACAGTGAACCCCGGGTAATACTCGTGCACTTGCATACAGTACTATGTGTGTCCTACCTCAATAAAACCTTCAAATGACACCAATAAGCGCATCATG